TATATATATAGGTAGATATTTGAAATTTTCAAAATGGATCGGGTCGATAGTCAAAGTCGAAAAAAAAGAAGCACATAGAATGCTTCTTCTTTTTTTATTGTTTAAGAACGTAAATATTTGTTTCTTTCAACTTGTCAAATATAGGTTGCTCTAGACAACCTCAACGTTTACCCATGTCAAACGGGTGGATCGGGTCGGGTAAAAAATAGTCCAGCCCCAGATTGACTAATTTCAATATAATACGCATTTAATGACCCATACCCAACTCAACCCATGCACAATACATACTCGATCCATATTACCAAAATATTTATATATTTAACTCAATTTAAGAAAACTCGTATTCAAATTGAGGTGAGAGCACGGAGTGAGAGAATGCGAAATCAAGTGAGAGGGAAAAAGAGTCATAAAGGTAGATTGAGTTTAAGTAAGTTATAATAACACCTATATTAAACCCATTTATGACCCATAAAATTAGGTCTAAACCCATCTATGATCAATTTATTATATATAACGAATGCATATAACAACCCGGCGCATCAAATATTGATTAAGAAATGCGTCCATGACCCATTTTGACAGATACAATTTGCACCACGTTCATTGCCTTGCCAAATGAAAATATCATGTTTTAGTCATAATCTAGAACATAATGTTCAATTGTATCAATATAAGTATCTAATAATAATGTCTTCCCCACAATTTGTCTCTAAGGTTGACACGTATGACTGTAACTTGCAAAATTGATCATTCTTCCAAGAATACTTTTCTTACACTCTACCCTACGTATTTATTACCCATGTCCCTCTTCCTATCATCTCTCTTCATTATTTCTTCATTCTAATTTCAACTCTTTTATATTAAAGAAGCTTCCTACCTAGTATTGACATTATATTTATACTAATATACACGTAGGTATACTAAAATAAAAGTATATAAATTACGTATATAAATTACGTGTACTTGAGACATGGTAAAGGACGAACGAAATATAAGAGGTTAAAATATCACGTTAAATATTATGTTACTCAAAATGATAAGGTCATATCGATATTAGATTCTTATGCTTAAACTATGCCAATTGTGATATATTTACCCTAAACTTTTTTCTGTGATGCCAAAAATCTCAAACTTATACATGTATGACGCATTTACCCTCTGTCGAAGAACCATTATAAATTTGCCTACATATGGCGCCCACAAGACTTAAGTGAAATAAAAACGACATTGTTTTAACTAAAAAATCATCTAACGGAATCTTGATGAAGGGTAAATGTGTCACATAGATACAAATTTGGGATTTTTTTTAAGTCGCAAAAAAAACTTTAGGGTAAATATGTCATAGTGGGTATAGTTTAGGTTTTTTGATATCACAAAAATAAAATTCATGATTAATCTGTCGCAGTAAGTATATTCCATGGGTTTTTTGCGGCTTTTCCCTTTAATTATAAATTTGTACATACAATCCGCGCAAAGCACAAATTCCATCAAACAAAGGTTATAACCACACCATTTAGTAAATTCATTTACTACATTAATTATACAATCTTTAGCATCAATTCTAGATCTATTAAAAAACAGTTTTAACTTAGTGACTTGGCTTAACAGTCCAGCATAATAGTTACTCTTTTTTTTTGTCGTTAACTTCAATTTGAAGAAAAGCATGTTTTTTTTTTGTAATGTTTTTGCGCATACAATAATTACGCAGCAGTCCAAGTTTAAGTCTTATTAAAGCAACATATGTCGACAGCTTCCTTGCGTCTTTTGACTTGATTACGAGGCAATGCGCGGCGCAGACCATCATACAGTTTCTCAATGGAGTTGTGAGAACCAAAAGCTTGCCAAGGTCGTAAGCTTCCAAGCATTTTGCAGTCGAGTCCTGAATTATTTAATTATACTAACCTAATCATTAATGGTCCGATTACATAACTAAATTAAATGGTGAAGCAAATTGATAAGGTGGCTGGGAAAATCTTGTCCTATGTCAATAATGATTCTTAATAGAGAAAATCTGACCTTAGATGGATGTACCGTGAATCACGAGTACATGAAATACACTAATAAATTAATGGATAAGATAAGACGAGGGTCAAGATACATGTGCATATTTACTCATGGTAAAATATGAGATTGTTACCGACAGGGTGTTGGTTTAGATTGGAAAGGGAATTTGATCCTTTTCTTGCGGTCTTTGATACAAGTTTTGTTGGGAACACTTCAGGAGTAAAGTCCTGAATGCATGTGGAGGAGTGCACATAATAAAAATTGCAACAATTGTTGACGTCGGTGCTAGACGTGGGGGAGTGCACATCACACGAATAGGTAGATTAATTAAGATTTGTGAAAAAAAATAAGGGAAACAATAAAAAAATCATAAAACTACAAAATTGTCCACATTAGTGTCAACTGTATCACGCGGGAAGCCGACATCCACGTCAGCAATTGCCGATCAAAATTGGCCGGAAGGATTACATTGGCAAATCGTCAAAAGATTTAAAACTAAATTGGCTAAACTGAAAAGTTGATGACTGAATTAGCATCCATAAAATAAGTTTAGAAATTTTTTGATAATTTTCCTGTACTCGAAAAGTACAAGCGTATCCTAGTATGCCAAACTTGGCGAATGCCTTAGGTAAGTTGGCAAAAGATTTTGAACAAACTCTTACCAAAATTAATCTCATTTTTCCGTAACGGGGTAGTCCATCTTACACGGTCAAATTAAAGAAAAATGTCATATCGATTGCATATCATGTTCGAGTTTTGATTTGCTTGATATATTAAGTTACCGCGTACTCGAAAAGTACATGTATATCCTAGGATGCCAAACTTGGCGAATGCCTTGGGTAAGTTGGCAAAAGATTTTGAACAAATCCTTACCAAAATCAATCTCATTTTCCGTAGTGGGGAAATCCATCTTAAATGGGCGGATTATGATCTCATAAAATGCTTCACTAAAGCGGTAACTTAATAGATCAGACAAATCATAACTCGAACTTGCCGTGTAATTTATACGACATTGTTCTTTAATTCATCGATAACATTCCTTCCCAACGCCAAAAAAAAATTAATTGCCATAAAAATCTGAAAAATCAAGGATTGTGATGATCTTCAAGATTGTGATGTTCATGCATCCGCTCATCTTGTGGACGTGCTTGTTTCTTCCCCTGCATTATCATTATCACTTGGCAAATTCTTCACGGCACAATGTGTGAATTATATCTTCTTCTTTTTTCAAATCGAACGTAGCAAATATAGAAACAAAAATAAAAACCCAATTTCGTTTTTCTTTCTTGTCAATTATTTGCAGAGACGTATTCAATTGGAACTCGAAAATCCTAGACCTAAATCGATGACTCAACGAGGGGGCAACGTGAGGACAACTTGAGGACCAGAAGGTGACCCACACGATATGGAATTGGAATCACGTGAGAACCTTCGACGAAATATGTCAGGCGTATATGACAAGTGCATTGATTTCGGAACACTGTAGAGACGAGACATCAATTAATGTAATTTATGGGGAAGGAAACTGAATTTTGGTAGGTCGATTTTATTTTCTTGGCAAAAATAAAAAGAGGGTTCTGTTTTTTTTTTACACAATCTACGCATGCCGAATATACATTGTTATTTCGAACAAAAAAAGTAATATACATAATTATCCTCTAATTATAAATTTTAAATTACTCTCATCCCACAATTATTCGAGTTCATTTCTCCAAATGATTCATATCTTTTGGGCTAATCTCGAGATTGCAATTTTCTTTATTGTTAATATGATTCTCATGATCAAAAGGGGAAGTAAATTTTATTTTATTTTTCTTTATTTGGAAAATTGCCATTCTTATTAGGAGCTTTTTGGCGCGAGCAGAATTTCTCGCCCTGGATCTAGTATGCATGTCCGGAAGGAATATTCAGTTTGGATCCAATGGGTAAAGATTAGTGGTGTCAAGATGGGTTGAACGAAAACCCTTTTTTGCAAGAATGAAAGATTTAGAAAATCGTGAAAATTAAATTATGATTTTACATGTCAATTTTTGTTGACTTATTGATTTTAGGAGATGTCGGATACTTCATTGTAAAACTCGAAAAATTTACAATAAAGAAAAAAATCGTAAACAAGTCGAAAATCTTATTTTGAACCTTATAAAACTACTGAATATTTTATCTTTTACACACTATATGCAGAGCATAAAAGTTCCTGTTTTTAATATTTATGTGTTTTAGTAATGTGGGTCTGGTCATGTATGGGTTGGTTACGGATGGGGTCGTATATGGGTCACTGAATTTATATTGCATATAAATCGGTCAAAACGGATTAAATGAGTTAATTTTGATCGAAACATTTTCAACCCGATCCAAACTTGATACGACCCACCCATTTTGGGCGGTGGGCAGCCGACAAGGGGCAGCAGCGGCTCCGTGTGGCGGCTGGCGAGGACGAGTGATGAAAAGAGGTTTTATTTCTCTTTTTATTTCGGAAATAAAAAAAGTAGAAATTTTTTTTCTATTCTAACCCTATGACTAAAAATTTGTTCAAAAAAATAGAAAAATGAAATTACGTTACAAAACGGATCTCTGTTCCAATCATGTTCCCAGAAACAGAAAAATAGAAAAACAGATAAACATAATAATTATTATGCGTGCCCATGACGGCCCTAGTAAATAATATCACTGACTATGTAGCTTCTTATCTTAGGCCCGGCTCATCTTATGGCGCATCGGATGGATCTCGTCCCACGAGATCCTCCACATTCAAAGGTTGCGATCGACCCGGTTCACACAAACCGGATTAACGTCTAAGTAGCTCCCTAACACGAGAAGACTTTCGGCGACCGTCTTAATTTAGCGCCAAGCAGGAGAGAGAGAGAGAGAAAAAAAAATTGATGGAAATTTTCATTCTTTTTTTAATTGTTTTTCATAATTCAGGGAAAAAAAGAAAGAAGACATGTCTCACTTGATAACCTCTTTCATCGCTTGCGCTTTGGCGTTCCATATCCTCCTTGCACTCCCGGTCTGATCCGGCTCTGATCCGAGCTTTTGTCCCTTCTCCTGCCAATGGCGAGAGGCATGTGATCCTGACATGTGCTCGTTCGGTGAGGTCACCCCTCTATCCTCTATAAGAATATTGGTTCCAAAAAAACGCACCGAGCACCCTCCATTCTGGTCGTCATCCCGTTCCTTTCATACGATCGTCAAAAACAGGGCTGACTCCAGGCCGCACGCCTCGCGCCATGTTCTTCTGCTCTCTCTTTATTTGAATACCCACAAGAGGTTCGGAACGTGTCTATCTGGGTGTTGAGAACGGAGAGGGGGGAGATAAAGGGTCGCTCTGTTTTTTTTTATCTTTGCTCTTTGGGGGTCGAAGGGAAACAGCCAGGCATGGCCACGAAGGGACTCGTTGTTTATCTGATATCTGGTTTCGCTCTCGCCATTGCGTCTGCGTTTTTTCTTGCCAACGAGACGCACGAGGATGCGGAACCGAGCGCTCTCGTTTCGTTGCGGTCGACCCTGCGCGGATCAGACACCGAGAAAGTCTGGCCGGTATGTTGGCTCTGTTTTTCGCCCTGTTTTTTGTTGCTTTTTGCCAATGTGAATCTCGACCGATAAAGGCGGTTTCTTTTGCTTTTCTGGGTGATGGGGTGGAGCAGAAATTGGAATTTGGGTGGAGGGTGGTGGTGGCCACGGTGATAGGTTTTCTGGGGTCGGCATGCGGGACGGTCGGCGGGGTCGGGGGCGGCGGCATTTTCGTTCCGATGCTCACTCTCGTCGTCGGATTTGATACCAAGTCTGCTGCTGCCATTTCCAAGTGTGAGTCAACAAAATTTCTCAGATATCATAATCTCATGTTCAATCACTTTTTTGTTCCTTCTTTTAGGGTCATTTTTTTGGTCATATTAGTACAGGATACAGTGCCTAACATAGGTTGCAGTGAGATTATAGTTGGGATGAGATGTGAAATGGTGGTGAACACTTTCTTATTACCTTGCTACACGCGTTGAAGAGCACACGGAACCAAAAGGAAGCAAATCATTTATCAACGAGCTTAAAAATTGATGGATAATCATTAGTGAAAAGGAACTCCTGCCAGTAACTTTTTTTTCTTAATGATGAGTTCCTGAGAGTCAATTTATTGTACGCTCGAAAAGTGGGAACTTTTTTCTCTGTGTTTTTTGTTTCTAGTCCAGTGTTTTGTTGTTGATTTGAGGTTTGTTTATCAATTGTTTCCTTCTCTTTTGTGCCTTTCCTTGCTTCTCTAGCCAAAGAAGCTGGGAAGAATTATGCCAACTTCAGAGCTGAATATCTCAGCAAGGACTTCTATCGATTGAAAGTAGTGGTATTTGTGCAGGTATGATAATGGGGGCATCCGCGGCATCCGTCTGGTACAACCTGAGAGTACCCCATCCGATGAGGGAAGCGCCCATCATAGACTATGATTTGGCCCTTCTGTTCCAGCCCATGCTCATGCTCGGCATCACCGTCGGTGTAGCGCTCAGTGTGGTCTTCCCTTACTGGCTCATCACCATCTTAATCATCATACTCTTTTTAGGTTTGTTACTAGGAACTTATGTTCGGTTCTTTCTTGTTCTGCTTTCCACTCCGATTTCTTTAGCTTCTCTTGTAAGTAAAACAACTTAGTCATTGACCAAAAGACTGTCAACGTTTTTCTTGGCCATTTGAATGATTAGGAACCTCATTAAGGTCCTCCTTCAAAGGGCTGGAGATGTGGAAGGAGGAAACAATCCTGAAGGTTAGTTTGATTCTGATTAACTGAAGCATTTCAATGGTAGGGGTTATTTAACGCACTTGACTAATTTTGATCTTAAAATTTGGCTGGGGATTGCAGAAAGAATTGACCCAGCAGCAAGAGACTCTCGTGAACTCTCGTGGTGAACGTAAGTTTCTCGACTAACGAAATTAGAATATGCGCATTGTCTCTTACTAATGTCCATTTCCTCAGTCAATTCCGAAAGCTGTTTATGCGACTGTTTCTGTTTCATGCAGTTCTCATCGATACACAGTATGATCTGCTCATTCCAAAAGAAGAGAAAACGGAATTGGTGAGATTTGGACCACCCTGTTCTTGGATTTTACCATGAGTTAATTTAATTATAGTATATTATTGCAGCAAATACTGTGTCTGAACCTTAGGTGGAAAAGGATTTTGATACTAGTCCTTGTCTGGGTTGCCTTCCTGCTTCTTCAGGTCATCAAGGCAAGTGATCTCTCATTCTCTCTCATATTTTGACTTTTGAGCATTTTCTGACTAATGCCTTTATTATATGCTCTCATCATTTGCAGAATGATCTAGTAGTTTGTAGTGCATGGTACTGGGTGCTCTTCTGCTTGCAGGTACATAGAAAACAATACAAACCCCCTTTCCTACTGAAATTCATCTCTCTATCATTTTCCTGAATGAATCTTACCATGTCTTAAATCTGTTGTTTTTCCAACAGCTCCCAATCGCAATAGCTGTATTTGGATATGAAGCAGTGAAATTGTACAGAGAGCACAAGAAGAGGATGTGCACTGGTAACACCGAAGCCATATGCGAGGCCACAATCCAGTGGACAGCAGTGCACATTGTGTTTTGCGCGCTCTGCGGCATCTTAGGAGGCTGCGTCGGGGGTCTTCTGGGTTCGGGTGGCGGATTCATTCTAGGGCCACTTCTCCTCGAGATTGGAGTCATTCCTCAGGTATATATGATGATTAACTATCCAGTGTATTTCTTTAACAAGCAAAGTTCAATTAGATATTGTTGCCTTAACTATCAGTCAAATGTTGTGATCATCAATCATCCGTGAGAGTGAAAACAATTGGCTATGTAATTTATGCAGCAGGAGCTTTCTTTTTGTTTGTGAAAAAACAAACTTTTATTGAAACACTCCATCTTCAAGAAGTTGGTAAACTGGCAGCATCACACTATAATAAACTAGACATTCATTGGTGCAGCAGGTTGGTCTTCTGAAAGATAATATTATTTTGAAGCATCAGGGCATTGATAAACTAGACATTCAATTATAGGTTGGCATTCTAAAGTATAAAAGATATAGTATTTTTGCTTTGTCCATCTCTGAAGTGTTACATGTGCAGAGCAAATTGGTCTTTTTAATAGAGGAAATTGCTCTTGGCTTGCATATTCTACGAGGTAGTTGCAAATGATTAATCGGGATTCCTTATGAAATTTCTCGTAAATAACTGCAATTTCTCCACCTAAGTTTGGATTTTGTTTTGTTTACAGGTCGCTAGTGCGACGGCGACATTTGTGATGATGTTCTCATCATCCTTGTCTGTGGTGGAGTTCTACCTGCTTAAGAGATTTCCCATCCCCTACGGTATGATTCTTTAGTTGGCACTCCTCTTGGTTTGTTGCTAGTTCAGCTCCAGACAAGACGAATGTCGATACTTGACTCAACGTTGATCTGTGATTTTCGTGTTATCCTTTTTTCCCCTTTTGCAGCACTGTATCTCATGTCAGTTTCGATATTGGCTGGTTTCTGGGGACAATACTTCGTAAGGAAACTGATAACGTTCTTGAGAAGAGCTTCCCTCATCGTATTCATTCTCTCTGGTGTCATCTTTGCTAGTGCCCTCACCATGGGTAATCCTAATGCTCCCTTTTCTTCTCCATCCTGAGAATTGAAACTTCTGAATATTTTGCATCACCTCTTTTATCTTTCTTTGTTCATGGATTGATTTTCTTTCTTTTATTGCTTTGCAGGGTTCGTTGGCATTGAGAAGAGCATTGTGATGATTGAGAATCACGAGTTCATGGGATTTTTGAGCTTCTGCAGTAGTCAGTAAAAACCATTGGAGTGGCATTGGTGGAGAAAGTTACTAGTGGGATCAAGTGCCAAGAGTAATGTGATTTTATCTTTCGTGGGATAGTCCAAGTGTTGGCCAATTCCTAGTTGACCAACCTAGGCAAAATAATTTTACCAACAATAAAAGCTGTCAAGCTTAATGTAGTGTTAGCTTCTGGCTAACACCCCCCTCATTCTTGGAGGTGTTCTTTTTGCTCTCTTCAGACTGGTTCACGTGCCTTTAGGTTTCTTAGCCTTGTATTTTGGATTGGTTTTAGCCTCTTTTAGAGACCATAAATAAAAGATTAGAAAGATGCAAGTACATCTCTTTTTGAATTATTTGTGTATGACTGGTGTGGATCCCATTGCTGTATTAAAGAAAAGAACATGCTGGAATGTATAAAAATGTGGATCTGTAGAGGTCAGATGAGTGCTATTAGGCCACTCAGAACGATCCAAGAGTTGTTGAACTGGTCGAACAAAAAGAGTATGTCAGTGTAATTTAATGAAGTAGGCCACCCGATGAAGCAGTCCATGTGCGTTATATGAGAAGTCAACACCCAAGAACGCAAATTAACTTGGATGCTGCCTTCTGGTTGGCCATTGTAGACTCGCGTGATCATTTCGGGGGCGCCCATCATGCAGATGATAGATAATATTAAGAATGTAAAGATTGATTTAATGACAGTTGTGTCTTTATATTGCACCAACCTCTGTTTAACGTGGGAATAGGATTGCAATTGCCGAGCCAACATGTCTTACAAAAGACAGCACAATCAATTAGGCAGCCATCAGATCATGAGTTTTCGGAACCAAAGTTCATTGCAGAAGAATGCAAGGAACTCAAGTCGTTAAGATTCACCCAACAACCTGAAATGTACCCGACAACGAGGTTTTTTCTTTTTTGGTTGAAAGAAAATTATATTCACTTCTCAAAAGGATACATGAGAAGTACATAAACTTTCATGGCAAAGGAATCCGACAGAGCAAAGCCCAAAATATAACAAATCAAAGTCAAATATAAATAACAAGGATGATCAACAAAGCACCGGCAGGATTAAGCATACACTCGTTCCATAAAATCGAATTTTTCAATCAAAATGATCGGCGGCCGATCACTGGATCTCGTATCATCATCAATGATGAGTACACGCCGGAAATTCATTCCCCAATAACTACGACGTTGCCAGTTGGCAGTGCATGCCTACATTCGGCTTCCTCTACACCATCATTATATGGAGGCAACCAAAACAGGTTGAAAAAACACAGATCCAACTTTTGGAAGAACAAATCTTCGTGGTTCAGCAAGCCAAAGTTTCTATAATCATCATTGAAACTGGAAGGAGAGGATCTATACATGAATAGAGCACCGGGTATCAAATCCCCGAAAACATTATTAAAATCCCAGATCTAAAGAAGGAGAGAAAAACTCATGGATCTACAAGTAACTAAATCAGTAGAGTTCAAACTCTCAGATCTAGAATTAAATCGAGAGAAGAGAGCTCCCAGATCTAGATTGAGAGAGAAGAAAAAACAAGAAAAAAATCAAAATACTCAACAAAATCAACGAGAGGGGAGGATGAGACTAGCTCAAACCCTCCCCATGGCTGAAGCTTGGAAAATACAATGGAGAGAGGAGAGAGAGAAAAAAAACCTTTCGGCTCCTTCAAAAGAACTACTTAGCTCACTTTGGATTTTCACTCCATGGTCTTCTTCAAGCTTTTACTAGGCAATTTTTCGTAACTTCTTTATAGATGTAAGGTGGCTTTCTTTTACCCTGACCCAAAAACAAAGGGTGGCTATCTTTTACAAACAAGGAGCTTGTCTTCACAATCTCTCCCAAGAAAGGAACAGAGCCAAGAATGTTGTCAAAAAGAAACTTACATCAGCAGCTCATGGAGCTGTGTCTTCAGGATTACATCAAGAAAGCCTGCTTAGTACCTATCAAGAGGGAGACAATACAGATTTTTGGGCAGCAACAAAACTGTAAATTTCTTGAAGTTTATAGTAAACATAAGGATCTGCTTCGACAGAGTGAGAAGATGAATCTGCCGTGAAAGCAGCTTGGCACGGAGCCACATGCTGTACATTAGCACCTTGTCAGATGTAAGAGAATATTCTTTTTGCCAGGAACTGATGGATTTTGCCATTGGACTTAGAGGCAGAGTTCCTGTGGTTAATGCTCTCAACGCATTGTAGTATTTGTCAATATGCATCTAGTTCCAGTTTCTGCCTTACATGGGAACAAAGTAGGATGATTTTTTAAGCCTCACATCTCACACTACCAGTCACATGGCATCTCTATCATCTCTCTCTCTCTCTCTCTCTCTCTCTCTCTCTCTCTCTCTCTCTCTCTCTCTAGTTTTATGCTCTTCTTCAGGATTGACTTTTTCTACAAAACTAAACAAACATAGGTAACAATCTCCTTATACCATGCGAGAAACTTCTGTTCCTGAGCATATGAAACAAAACCAGTAAAGCAGACCAGGAACAAGGAACTGTCTAACTAGGATGGTTAAAGATGTCATTCCCCCAATAGAGATTGGTTCAATACAAGCTTCAAGCCATCAGAAAAAAGGGCTTTGGCAGAAGCCACCGATCTTGCTGCTAGATCTACTTTGACAATCCTCTTGTGATTAAAGAGCTACAACAAGACACCAAAGAACAGAGGACCATTTAGTTTCAGATATCCTCGAATCATAAAACAGATGGAACTCTGATTTGCAATGATTATTGAGAGTACTACACATCCAACAGTGGCTGCAGAGGAAGAAAAATTAGGTGAATCTCTTGTTCATCGTAGTATTCAAGGAAAATCGACGGAGTCAACATGATCTCTTATTTGCATTTTGTCAAGTTTTAGGATTCAAAAAAACGGAAGAAAAGTTTGACCTTAAATTGGCCCAAAATCTGACGTGACCAAATGAATGATAATAAAAACAAAAGAATCAAATACAAACCAAGGATCTTCATTTTTTTAATATGAAAAACAAAACCTCCGGCCAGAAAGAGACGTGCATGTGTACTATCATCTCTTAAGCAAATCAAGAAAAAAAAATGGTCTCAAAACATTTGGACCTCTATATAATCCATTCTCGGTATTGGTTCGAAGCGTTTGAGGAGCTCCATTTTCTTTTATAATCTAAAACGGGGGCGAATAAGCCCGAAATTACGCGTGGAGGAACACAAATGCCCGCTTGATCTTCTAAGGACAAACGTGATGAATCATTTCGTGGACAGAACGAGTCACGTTGATGTTTTTTTCCGCAATGAATCGGGGACCAGAAAAGGATAAGAATGAAATGTAACAACAAGATCAGAGCCTCCTTGGCTCTTTCCTCTATTCAAAGTATGATGAATTGGACTCATGGGTCCAAATAGGTCGCTTTATTTATTCCAAAACCCATCGTGATAATTGGTTTCCGTACCGAAATAATGTCGAAGTACCTTCCAAGACTTCGGAAAACTAGGAGATAAAAGAAACAATTGCGAGGGTGGAACGTGTGTTCATGTTTGGTGTCGGATTCAAAGTTGTCAAGGAGGAGGGGAGACAAGGACGGAGAAAATAATGTTGTTGCCTCGCTTCCATCGAAGCTGACATTTCATGGGCCACGGTCAATCAGAAGAACCGCCCAGAAACACACTGTGATGAGGAGTGATAGGTTTTTGTTTCGACCCTTCATGTATGTCACAAGATCAATCATGGAAAGATGATGGTATAGCAGGAGATTGAGATGAGCTCGACTACTTTACCACACCAGCAGCATTTTCCAGTGTCCACAGAGTTCTCTTTTCGAGGCTCAAATCATGTAGAAGATGTTTTGGCACAGGCTCCTGTCAAACGCCCCGTTAGCAAGCGGTCAGATTGGATGAAAAGGTTATTTGTTTGGCGATAGATTGAGCGGTTGGGTCAGTAGAATCGTTCTTTTCGTACTGTACAAATTGGGTTACTGCTGCACGCTACTCCGCACTTTCAAACAACAATGCCCGTCATTTAGTCACTACACGCATCTTGAGACTCGCCAAGGCATCTGTGTACAGGAATTTGCACGGGACACCTCCATGGATGAGGTTATTTATGTTGGAGAACATCTCTTAAGGAATTTTAATAATTCGAAAACTATCATTGATATAATATCTACTATGATAAATGCATCATATATTTGTGGTGATATCTGAAAGACTGTGATGATATCCATGATAGTTGAATAGCTTAGCGAAGACCAATTACAATGATGTAGATTTCGACAGGAGGAGAAGAAATCGGACATGACAATGTGCTCGTGAAAACTTGGAAGGGCCATGATCGATCTCTTGGAGTCTTTGGAAGCTGATATGCTCGGAGTTATCATTGGAAGTTGAACTGCAAGTCATTTCATGCGGCTTGTACATGAACAGCGTCAACAGATTAGTGATAATGTGCACGTGCTAAAGCATCCAACTGCTCGCCCCACGTCAAAAAGGTCATGTTCTCAGGGGGAGCTGCTAATGCTGAAGGACACTGCGGAGGACGAACTTACCAATGCGCAGCTTCAAGAGAAAATGAGGGAACTCAAAGCCCTTGTCAATGCTCTTGGACGACATCTCCTAAAGATAGAGCCGGCTATTCTATCTCTAAATTGTTACAAACCTTTATGCCAATTCCCTAAGTCCTCTGTTGCTACTAAATCCGCACCCTCCTCTCAGCAAAAGAAGCGACCTAGGAAGCTTGAATCGTTTTCTTTTCTTTTAATTAGGTTTACTAGTGTTTTTCTTTTAATGATTATAATATGAATCTCTCTCGTTTTCATTGGAATAAAGGTCTCTTCAATCATTTATGTGCGCTGTTCGTTTTTTTTATTCTGATGACAAAAGGGGGAGAAGTATTATGGGATGTGATTGATATGGATATGTGACTATCTGAATACAGTGAAGACATGAACATATTTGTTGTTATTTGCTAATACTTGAAGATATGATCACTGCAGCTTTTAAATGATCTTTCTTGAAACGTTCACTGTAAGAGACAGAGGGAGAAACATTTTTTAAAATAGTTTAAATCAATTAGAATATATTGTCTCTCAATGCTTGTCTCCATAATAAAATTTCATGATGTATTGTCCAAATATTTCATCTAACTTATTATCATGTTTTTCAAAGATATCCGTTATTCCCTAATTATCACCACTAGTTGGAGATGTCGAAATCTGGTCACTTAAAATCAAGTGAAGTTTATCTAAATTCCGAGCAAATCTATTAACCTAATTGCATATACTTCTTATGATTCATTATCACATTGCGGGTAGTTTTGTCATCATAAAAAAGAACAGATTGTTGGGAACACATCCCTATGAAAT